GCCTTCGGCGACACCACGCGGGCAGACCGCAGTCTGCCCTTTCCCCTGCCATTTTCAGCTTCGCTTTCAAGATTCACACAAACGCCGCCCCCCAAAAATTCAGATCTCGGCGAGCTAATGGCGGCCGTGAAATGAAACTTGCCTTTCCCATTAAGCTCGAAAGACGAACAAATCGGAAGCCCGGGAATTTTGGCCAGCCCAATGAATGAAGACGAAGCCACAGCCGCCATTTTTTCCGTCCTCACGCCTTCACCACAAAACTTTTCAGTAAAACTTTTCAGTAAAATGCTATTTTGGCCATTAATTGCTATTTTATTGAGATTTTATGTAGACGCGATTGGTTGTTCAAAATTTGTTGTTTGTTTATTCCACGTGTATCAAATTTTACTGGTAAGGTGAAGGGGAAATTCCACGTGTATCAAATTTGTGTTTGTATATAAATTTTTTTAATTCATACTCAAAGTCTACTCGAACTTTACTCCAACTTCACAATTTTTAATATTATATTCATCTACTCATGTAATATTAATTAACTATCAGTTCAAATCATCACATTTATCTCTTACTTTTACATTACATCAACTTTAATTATTCTATTTTAAATATTATTTTAATAAAAAATAAAAATCTAACAACTAACCATCAATCTTTTTCAAAAATAATTATAATTAATAAAAAAAGCTCATTTTGAGCGGATTTATTTGTAGGAGCATGTTTGTTTACCAAATAGTACACACATTTAATTTATACTTAAAATTTAACTTAATATTAATTCAACCCCATTATCATTAATATAGTTCATATAATTAAATAATACAAACAAATCATTCTTACGTGTCACATCAGCTTCAATTCACGAATCATCCACTCAAATAATATTAACTGTCTATCATTTTCAATAATTTATAACCTATTTTATATCAAATTAATTTTAATAATTTTATTTTAAATATTATTTTAATACATTCTTAAAATCCCACTCTGATTAAACAAGCTAACTCATGAATTATTTAATAAAGAAGCATGCCCTCTTTGTAGAGAAATTTTTGATAGCTAGGAGAAGTAGAATCTTCAATTTCATCTTATACTTATTGTCATACCAATATGGAATTGAGTGGATTCAGTAAAATTTCACCATCCTATTATATGGTATTGAGCAGATTCAATCAAATTACACCATCATTATAGATTCTAGCTTACGGATTCTATCAAATTCTGCAATTTTAAAATAAAATAAATTTTAATAGATTGATTTAACGGTTACAAATTTAGCAATTGATTATCTACAATAACTAACTTTTATGTATACTCAAAGGCTAAAAATTCTCACGAATGATTCCGTGACAGGACGATAGCTTCTCCCATTTTACATATTATGCCCGACAAATGCATGTGAGAGGGTCATCCAAGTACTTAAAAAACAGAGAAAAAACAAATTTCCATTCAAAATGGGATAAGCAACTCAATAATTTTATAATGGCCCCGTTTGGAAGATAGCGGATTGAAGAAAATTAGCGGATTGGACTTAAGTGAGAGGTTTGACCCGTCAAATCCGCTATTGAGCTTGTTTGGTAAATAGCTTATTTGATAAGCTTTTGGGCCCAAAACTCTAATTTAGAAAAAGCTCATTAGATGAGCTTTTTGGGATAGAAGATTCACAATCTACTATTTTAATTTAGAACTTTTTAATTTGTATTATTTATTTTTACAATTTACATTGGTTTATGGTGCTAATAAGTACTAATATGTCATCCATATGATTAATTTATCTAGAAAAATGTAAAATTTATAACTTTTTAATCAAATGTTAGTAAATTTTAAGAAAATATATATATTTATAAATTACCAACTAAAGAATACTAAATTTCTAATATATTATTATTAAAAGAATACACCCTAAATAATAAAAGTGTCCTTATTGGTAATTTACAGTGTCAAACAGCTATAAGCTTTCAGCTATTTACCAAACACTTATTTAAAAACCGCTAATGAAATTCGCTGGTCAAATCAGCTAATATAATCCGCTATCCGCTATCCGCTAATACAATCTGCTATCCGCTATCAGCTATCCGCTGATCGCCAAACAAGGCCTATATATTTTTATCCATGTCACCCAAGACTTAAGTCCATTTATTTGCCACATAAATCAAAATTAGACTCAAAGCATTGCAGATGCTCTTATATAAACTAGTTCATTGATAGTATTTAGGGAATTTAATAAGGGTTGTTCATTGAGGGTAATATATTGAAAGAAAGAAATGGATGTAGACATATATACTGATTTATGTGTCATAACACATAAGTAGACATGGATGTGAATATTTCTGCAGGTTAAATAAGGTACAAACAACATGAAAAAGAATAAAGGTGGTTTTCTATAGGGCATGCTATATATGAACATGTGTATGTTTTAAGAAAAGACAAGAATAAGATGAGGAAAAAAACTTCACTAGATTCAAAGTTTTGTGTACTTTAATGTACATTATATTAATGGAAGAGAAAGAGACATAAAAATAAAGGCCATGACTCTTATTTCTTTTCTTTGTAATTGTGTGATATAGTCACTGTGTTTGTTAATAGTGTTGACTGTTGGGTTTTTTTTTTTTTTTTTTTTTCTAAATCATAGATAATATTATAACACGAAAATTTACACGAATACAACTCGGGAGCCAACTGGCTCCAATACAGAGAGACACCCACAAACGAGTGCTCTAGAACTAAACTAACTACAACACACACTACACTCTCAAAAGCTCCCAACATGAGAATACATAAAAGCTCCTAACATGAGAATAAACACAAGCTCCTAACAGGAGAATACACATAACGCACTCCCAA